TAACAGCTACTGTAGCCACTAGCATAGCAGCTAGTGTAGCAGCTAGCATAGCAGCTAGTGTAGCCGCTAGCATAACAGCTACTGTAGCCACTAGCATAGCAGCTAGTGTAGCAGCTAACATAGCAGCTAGTGTAGCCGCTAGCAGCGACTTGCTAGGTCAACAGTCATGAAAGATGCAGAGTTGCATGAACTTCGTCCAGCTCAGGTAACTTTAGCAGATTAAATTGAGAGGATTACCTTCTCAGATGTGATGGACTGCCAAAAAATAGATCAGCACCGCGGAAGCGTGCACAAGAGCGCGCACAGGAGGAGTCGCTGTTTTAGTTCTTTGAATTTAACAAGATTAGCACTAGCTGTACCAGTGAGCAGGTATTCAGGAAAACTACTGGATGTGAAGGATCAGCCAGTGGGCGTGGTGGTCCAACCCACTGATGTTGATTGACAGCTGAAGTCATTCTGCTGAAAAGTGACATTATGAAATAAATAAGCTATCATGAAAAACACCATTATGAAATAAAATAATAAAAATGAAACTTATTTCATAACGTTTTATTCATTTTTTAAATTTTGAACATTTTGGTGTTCCATAGATTAACTTTTGCAGTCGACCTGATTCCAAATAGCTGCCACAAGAAAATGATTTCAGTTGACCTGAAAATGGTGGTACCTGAATACATTTGACACGTTTTGACCTAAAGTCTTGTGTGGTAGTAGCTGACTGTCATTCACATCACATACCCTGAGCATTAACGGATCATACAAGATCTAAAGCCTACGTTCACAAAATTCAAAATTTTTGCCCCCATGTGACCCGTGTCAGATTCAAAGTAAAAGTCCAGTTGCTTTGTGTTTTGTTTTTATTCATCTTGTCCAGGATGATTGAGAATCAGCGCCAACATATGATGCTAACATTGGATCATATCGATGCTAACGTGATGGGGCTGATACTTGCGTTGGTTTTGCATCCATATGCTGTAACACAGCGTGTTGTGTTAGATGCCTTCTTCTGGATGTCACTTCACTTTAGAGAGTTCACACTGGAGTCTAAGCGACGTCGCATTTAAATTATAAAATGCAAAATAAATCGAATCTGAGTAAAAACTTGGAGTTGAGCATTCAGACCTGCAGTGCAGGCGTAGCTGAAGTTTTGATCAGGCATCATCTAAGGTTCGACCAAATCAGCTCCAGCTCCACTGATTCTCAACATAAAAGGATGTTCGTGGCACGAAGGGCGGCGGGCGACATGCATTCCTTCAAAGAAATGCTAGCCCTGATGAAGCCCTTCGGATAGAGGGCGAACCGTCTCTATAAAAAAGGAACTGTCCAGATGACCCGACTGAGAATTATTGGATTTGGTACCTGGATGATTGTTGCTAGTGCTTTAATTTTATCTACAACTGGATGGTTCAGAGCCGATTAGAAGGTTTAAGCCGTCAGTGTGTTGATGATCGGTTGGCAGGAGCCATTTTCTTTGTGAATCAGCACGCAGCTCTCATGACAATTATACATGAAGATATTGTGTGTGTGTGTGTGTGTGTGTGTGTGTTAGAGAGAGAGACAAGAAGAATGATCCAGATGTTTGTTTCATTTTTATTCTCCCCCATCGTCCCATTTTTAATCCATTTCCCTCCCCCACTGCACGCCATCTGCATATACACACATGCACACGCACACACACACACACACACACAGCAGGCCAGTGCAAGTGTGTGTTCCCTCAGCCAGGTGGTTGGATGGCCCTAAATGGGTCCTCCTGCACCTCTGGCTCTGCCTTGATTGGAGTGAGTGCAGCTGCTACAATTATGCAAACCTGCTCACCACTCTTAACTGGGTCACTGTGTGTGTGTGTGTGTGTGTGTGTGTGTGTGTGTGTGTGTG